CTTTTGTGGACATAATGACTTTAAGTGCACTGTGCTAATTTTCTCCTTATAGTCCTCGTAATTTTTGGATAAAGAAAAGAAATTCATATTTCTTGACGACTCGTTGACTTTAACAAACTCTGTTAGTTAGTTAGTTAGTTAGTTAGTTAGTTAGTTAGTTAGTTAGTTAGTTAGTTAGTTAGTTAGTTAGTTAGTTAGTTAGTTAGTTAGTTAGTTAGTTAGTTAGTTAGTCAGTCAGTCAGTCAGTCAGTCAGTCAGTCAGTCAGTTAGTTAGTTAGTTAGTTAGTTAGTTAGTTAGTTAGTTAGTTAGTTAGTTAGTTAGTTAGTTAGTTAGTTAGTTAGTTAGTTAGTTAGTTAGTTAGTTAGTTAGTTAGTTAGTTAGTTAGTTAGTTAGTTAGTTAGTTAGTTAGTTAGTTAGTTAGTTAGTTAGTTAGTTAGTTAGTTAGTTAGTTAGTTAGTTAGTTAGTTAGTTAGTTAGTTAGTTAGTTGGGTTATCATCATTGCACTCCGGACATGTCCATAGGTGCTCAGATCCTCCCCTCAGTATGAACCCCAACGTCCGATGGCTAATAATACCAGTTCTAAATTCATTAACAAGTCTTCTGACGTGTCCGGTGTGCGTCTCGTTTTTTGCTGTGCCGATCTTAATTCCCAAGTCTGCCATTCTGGCGAGTGATGTGGATTCACTGCCACCAAAGTCCTCTATCCTTCCCATTGAGGGCATTGATAATATCAGCATGATCCATAGGCCGGCTGTCGGTAGTGATAGCGGATCCAGCCAACCTGTCAGCTCTTTCATTTCCATCGACGCCTGCGTTTCCCTAAGCAAAACTAAAGGTGACTCCACGAACAGTGGACTTCTGTAATGATTCAAGCCATTGTCTTCGCACTGAACCTGCCTGAACCCTCCGGATCATACTCATTGAATCACTGAGTATACATGTGCGGGTGTATTTTTGTGTTTCAAGCCAGGCAAACGCTTGCGTCACTGCCATCACCTCCTTCGTCATGCTGCTGGTTGTCATGGAGAAGGCCTTGTTGGCTTCTTTGACTATTCTGCCCGCTGAGCGTGCTGTGAATGCCCATGCGCTTCTTCTTTGGCGTATAACGGATCCGTCTGTAAAGATTAGTGCATCTGCTTCGTCTGAATTTTCACCGATGAGAGCGTTGACCTCTGCATTAACAGCAACAGGATTCTCTTCTCTACATCGCCTGTTGAGTGTGATAATACAGGAAAATGTACAAATTTTCAAGTCGTTCAATCTGAGTAGCACTGACAGTGAGGATGGCCAGAGCGTATTCAATGTGGGAAAGGACCAGACCGTAGAATAAAAGTATTAGTAGTCTTTGCTCGATTTTGGAAGCAGCCATAATCCTCATTGCAGATAGACCTTTGCGTGCTTTTGTTATCACATGGTCAAGGTGTTCCCTGAATGACAAGCTGCGATCGAACCTCACCCAGAGAAACGTCATAACAAACTCTGTATTGTTACCTACAGAAATTGTCGCTGTGAAAAAGATTGACTAAACATAAACGTGTCATTGGTTTCTGACTTAAGTGACTCGGGAACTATCTTGAGCTGAATTGACATCAGTAAGTGATATTTTCCTATATAAGTTACTCTTTTGTAGCCATTATGATGTTGTTGATTTAGTAGGGTTGTCTAGCTGATATATATTTCTTTAAAGTATACTCATTATTGTAGTCATGCAAATCTGCACCTTTCTGTCGTTTCGACCATCTCTGACACAGGTGATCCTCCATGATATCAGACTGTCCAACATTCTCTCTCTCTCTCTCTCTCTCTCTCTCTCTCTCTCTCTCTCTCTCTCTCTCTCTCTCTATGTCTTTTTCTGGCTGTCTTACCCGTCAGCTTGCTTCTTGGCATGATCTACGCCAGTTTAATCTTTTTAATTACCAGAGAATTTAGATTGTCTCTTTCTGGTATAGGCAGTCAGTTATCTACATGAATTAGTTTCTTTCAAGACATCTTCATTACTCTTTTGATCTGTCCAGCGTAATTTTATCACTCGCCTATAAAAGTACATCACTGCAGATGCTACACAGATGCTTCACTAGTCTGCCTACTGTCCACGATTCATCTCCGTATCTCACGGTATGATTTATATAGTTCAAGAATGATTTTTCTCAAATGACCAAGAAAGATTGCCTAGAGTATTCTACATTAAAATTTTACCTTTGCGCTATTCTACATTTAACTTCTTTAATACATCTTCCATATGATATAATCAGGATTCCCAATTATTTAAACACATCAACATGATTGAGGCTTTTCCAAGTTATTGTATTTTTGAAGAGTCTAGTTGTTTTGACTTCCTGTTATGTTAAATCCTCTATTTCTTATAGTCGTGGATCATTTACAGCGATTAAAACTATACTGTCAAAATATGGCGGGTTGTTACCCACATTCCTGGCATACTATGATGGCATATATTTACTGGCCCATAGACTTGGTATAGTCCAAGAGAGCACAAGTTTTCATAGGTAATCTACCTTCTCTGACTAATAAAATACAATCACTGTCACAACCCTGTGAGTAAAGTCAGTGGCGGAATGTACCACACCGTAAGGTGTGCGTGTTAACGTGACACCCCAGGGTTGACAGTGTCAAGTCCGTTCATTGCACAGCGAAACCAGCGCTACGTACTGGGAACGACAAATCCGCACACGATTACCGCTTTGTCAAAGCTCGTTCGGCGTCGGTCAGGGAGAGAGGTTTAGCAAGCAGTGATAGGTGAGTTAGGATATTTATGTTAGTGACATAGTTTATGTACAGTGTTCTGTTAGAGGATCAACTGTTCTGTGAGAGAATGTCTAACCTTGGCACTATGTGCTAGACAGAGGCTGTGACAGTTTGGTGGTCAGTGTGTCAATAGGTAAGAGCGTATCTCGCCGTCTGTGGTTTGTACACCAGCTTGCTGTGGTACGTACTGGGAACGAGACGACTGTAAAGCTCGTGTGGCCAGAGGGTCCAAGCAATAGGTGGCCACACAGCGGGAAGTCAACTGTCTATTGTATTACCTGTACTTACAATAAAGATTGTCGTGTGTGCTCTGTGTGCGTTCGGGTTCAGTGTGTGTAAAAGGTTAGTCTGTCTGTCATAGGCCCAGTTACGAGCCACAGACCAGCAAGGTCACCCAGAGGTCTGTGACAATCACAATAACTGCTAACTAATTGTTTCCAGCGTTAGATTATATTATAAGCTATATTGTTGTGGGTAAGTTTTTTTCTAATATATTCCACAGCCATTGGAACCACCTATTCAGGCTTTCGGATGCCATGAATGTTCAAAACTTCCACGTGGTCTCCTAATTTAAACAGACACGTGAAGAAAGTACCCAAGAAAACACTATACTTATGTGCCTTATGCAGAAGTACCTATAGACGACTGGACAACTTGCAGAGGCATCACAATAAGCTGCACCAACCAACAGTAGCTCCATTACAGAACATGGCTGTTTTCAAAACACACCAACCATAGCATCTTCTCAGCAGCCTACAACACCAGTCACAAACAGGCTATCACAGTCACCTCCAGCATTACCAGCCATGACAGTTCCTTCAGTGTCAGCAGAAGCACCTTTACTACCTATGACAGCTCAGCCGTTAGCCATACGACCTCCTATGATAGTTCAATCAGCCACATTACCACCCACAACAAGCCCAACATTATAAAGATAGGGTCTCCCAAAAAAAGCACCCTCCACCTCTTCCAGCAAAGCTAAAAAAACGCAAATCAACAGGCAAGGAGACCTAGTCCCTAAACAGTCTACCTGTCGAAATCCATAAGAAGCAACGATACTTCAGGACCCTGATACCACCAGTCAGAATCAAGCTGTCAGTCTTCGCCAGCATTACCGTCTATGACAGTTCCATCAGTGTCATCAGAAGCAGCATTACCACCAACGACA